GAACCCTAGGTAGTTCGAACTAGGCTTCCTCGAGGAGTAACGGTAGTTCGAACTAGGAAGCCTAGTTCGAACTACCTAGTTCGTGCCGCGTGTAGCCGCGCGGCACGGGGTTCGAACCAGCAGGGATTTAAAAATGGCGGCGCCCAGTTTATGCAAATGAAGCCCGGGAAATTCAAATCCTGGGCTTCATTTGCAATTGCGGTATGCCTACATTACCCTCCTACTTCGAAATAGGAGGGTAGTGTAGACATACCCACACAGACAAACTCTCTCAAATATATAGTAGATAGCTAGCTATTCTCCCCCTACACACACACACACACACACACACACTCATCACCTGCTGGCCCAACAGGGTTATAGAGGTTCTGGACCCCATCTCTGGCCCACTGCTGTTCTCTGTGTCCATTCTATAGTATGATTGTTCTTCCTACCACACTCCTCCTTTTCTGTTTTATGAGAAACTGTCAAATTCAAGGTGTATCCAATTGTCCTAGCAGTTCCAAACCCTTACTTCACTTCAAGTTATGATAAGAGGAAACTGCATACCAAATTTGGTGGTCCTAGCTCTTATCATTTAGGAGGAATTATTGAACAAACAGATTCACACACAGATGGACAGACAGATGCAAATTTCCAAAATATATAGTAAGATTTGAACAGGGCCAATAGGACTTAGTTTCAGTTTCCCTTGTCCATATACTAAAAAACGTTTTTGGCAAATCCTGGCAAAAATGAGAAATCAATCGAAACAATAGAAATGATGGTTACACCATGCAACCCTGCATCAGTGATTCCATTCAAGGATGTAACGTAGCAACTAAAGAAATAAATTCAGTTTTGATAGAAACAGGAGTAACCTCAACCATCACTGATGTCAGTGGATTTCCACCTGCCAACCTCAAGATTTAATTCACTCCCAAAATACAGTTTGAACCTCTCTAGTCTGGCACCCTCAGGACCTGAGAAGTGCTGAACCAGAAAATTTGCCAAACCACAGGAGGTCAATATTGTCTAGCAGTGTTACCAACACTTCCACTGCTTACTGGGCTCTTAGGATGTGTCTAGACTACAGGGTTTTTTCAAAAAAAGTGTACTTTTTTCTAAAAAACTTCCCCTTCTAGACTGCTGCCGCATTCTTTCGAAAGTAAATCAAAAGAATGTAGCAGTTTTTTCGACCACGGACAACCTCATTTTACAAGGTAGAATGCCTTTTTTTGAAAGTGCAAACTGTGCTTTTTCAAAAGAGAGCATCCAGACTGCCTAGGTGCTCTCTTTCGAAAAAGCGACTTGCTTTTTCTAAAGTACTGGTTGTAGTCTAGATGCTCTTTTTTGAAAGAGGCTTGCAGTCTAGACATAGCCTTAGAAGACAGTTAGGGGTAAATTAGAGCTAAATAACAGCATAGAACACTGACAGCCACAACTAGTGGCTGTAAACAAACTTTATGGACTATAGGAAATTTGACCACTACTATGGTAAGTAGACATCCAGCTAACTAAAATCATGCTGGACCATGGATGTTGCCGGGCCAGAGAGTGCCAGACTAAAGAGGTTCAACCTGTAGTTTGTCTATAGAATTTGTCTGTGTATATTTAAAATATTCTGCTCAATTTTTTAAAAGAAAAAATCATTCTTTCGTGGCCTAGGGTTGTTGTTGGGTTTTTTTGTGGGGGTTTTTTTTTTTTTGAGTTTTTGTGTTGGGGTAGCATAGTGAAAATTTTATTTCAAATTACTTGTAAAGCAATGTATGATTCAAATCTGAAGTTTAATGTTTGATTTTCCTGCTTTTCTGCATTTTAGAAAATATTGTCAGTTTCCTTTCATAATTGTTCTCTTTTTTAATTTAATTTAATTTAATTTTAATGCCACTCAGACAACCCAAAATTGTTCACCAGGCTCAGTTTACAACATTTCTTGTGGAAAAGTCAGATAAAAAATAATAGAAAACAAATTAGATTCTTAGATGTGGCAAGAAAACAAAATCACTGATCACAGAATCATAGAACACTGGAACTGGAAGGGACCTCAAGAGGTCATTGAGCCCAATCCCCTGCCATCAAGGCAGGACCAGTACCGTCTAGAAGATCATCCCTGATAGATTTCATCTAGAATAGTAATGTCTATGTTTCTCTGCTTCACCTGCCAAAATTTCTCCATTGTTAAACTCTACACATACAAGAACATACAAGTCTTTCTTGAGTAGGGTCCATTATCAATGAATATATGACTCATTCATGTATTGGTGCAATCCTAATTGCATATAAATAATAGGGAATAAGAGTGAAGTTTCAAAATAATTCAGCCAGGTAGCACTAGAGCTACAAGGCATACAGAAGTTAAGTTTAAAACAAGCTATATGATAGTATGTAATACCCCATCTGTTGCAGGAGATAAATATTAGATATTTAAAATGTTTCACAGAGGCATCAGTTTTGATGGAACTGTCAGTAAGGAGGGTTTATCAGGTGAGACAAAGAAAGAAACCCACACCAAGTCGTTAGGCTGTTTGCCTAGGCTATAGAAGGCCCATATTCAAGTCCTTGTTCCGAATTATGTGGAGCAGACACTTGACTCTGCATTTCCTGTGTGAGTTGGATCTCTCTCACATGTGTGGTTTTTTTTAATAAATTGAAATACTTCGTTTTTCATCTGCATTGAAACAAAAGCAAATTTCAAAATTGTGTGTGAAATGGAATTGTTGGTTTCTGGTCAGTCTCATTTAAGGACTTAAATCTTAGTTTCATTGTTCTCTTAATAAAAACAATAAACACCTTTTGCTTCCGCTGCTCTATAGGGGTCCTATGCACTGCAGGCTGCATAGACATAAATGAGCAACTTTGGGCTCTCCATGCACTGCAGGCTGGAGACATAAATGAGCAACTTTGGGCTCTCTTAATAGATTTGTTGCCTGGATACTTCTATGGGCCCTCTTAGCCAGTTGTGAGACCTGAGCCCTAATCCAGCAAAGACTTATGTACAAGCTTAATTCTAAGCATGCAAGTTCACAAAAACTACTCACACGCTTAGAGTTAGACAGGCATGTAAACACCTGGTATATTTAGGGAAAATCAATATTGTTCATTTTGCTCTCAGACTAGTCACTGCCACTATTTTAACCTCTTTCATTTTCTAGTCTTACTGTAATTATATATTTTCTCCCTTTTTTGGTCAATGCATTATTAATTTATTTTATTTTATTTTTTATCTTTGCACACAGGGCATGTTTGATGTCAGTGATCTATCTTTGTGTGTATGTATGAAGACTTACTGCATTTTATGTATTTATTTTAGGTGTCCTAGAGATGCTACCTACACTACATACTATTCACCCTCCAGCTCCATCATACGGTTCAAATTCAATGCCTTCACATTTATTAACCGACATCCATCCGTTTACCTGCAGTTTAAAATGGTGGTATGCAGGGTAGATGATGGTTATTCTCGATGCTACCGGGGCTGCATACCCAGGCACAAGAGAGATACAAGCTCTTACCAGGAAAAAGTGGATGTTATTGTTGGGCCCATTCAGCTTCGGAAAGATCGCATGGAGAACAGGAATGCTGGTAAATTGTGTAAACACTTCTCTAATGTTTAAGTGTGACTATGGTCATTGGAGGGGCCAGTTTGAGAATGCTCACTGCGGGCAAACTGCAAAAAATAGTGCACACAATCTCCCAAACTGATGATTTATTCTTATAATTAGATTCACCAAACTAGTAACAAAACAGTTTCCAAAAGATGAAAATACAGTTCCTTTTAAGCAATCCAGAATTTGGCTCCCATCCAGACAGCCAAGTCTATACAGTGAGGTTGACTTAAAACCTTATTCATCATAGAGTTCTACCAATCCCAAGAGATCAGACACTATTACCAACCGTGTCAATGAATATTTCAGATCTGACTCAAATAAAGGTTTACAGACCATTCTTATTAACTAAACTAAGATTTATTAATAAAGAAAAGAAAGATTTACTATAATCAAAGATCATTATACATGCAGATGTAAGTAAAGTTCTTAGGTCAGTTTCATAATAAAGATGATGAGACTACTGGTTTGTGAAAGTCTGTCTAGAGTCAGTTATATAGGCTTTTGTACAATAGGCAGTCTACATGTAGAGTTTGTTCAAATTCTTCTCTGAGAATTTTCACAGATAGTCCAGGTAGCTACCCATCAGGAAGAAAGATGAGATGCAGTCTGTCTCATTATAGCTCTATTGATTTAACTCTCCCCAAACTGTTCAAGTATTGTAGTTGGCATGTCATGGATTGATGTGTCTAGAATGTCCTGTATAAAATAGAATGAAATTGATTTATTTCTTGACCTGATCTAGAATGTAACTTTTTAATTCAAGTGGCCTTGTCATGATATCTTTGGCAATAACTAGAGCAGAGAACAAAATGAAACCAAAACTCTTTCTCTTATTTCACAGAGCTGGACTATTCCAAACATCAGGAAGATGTAGATTCACGTGGTTCAGTTCCTGCTATTGCTGGTCATTCCTAGGCACCATTTATTGTTACAGCTGTGGTGCTGTCAGCTGTTCTTTTCACTGTTCTTGCATTTCTTTTGAAAAATAAACTAGACCCCCAATTCTGTATGAGATAATGTGAGACAATAAAGACACCAGCATGTGGTAAACAGTAATATCTCAGTTATAAATTAGCATTTGCCTAATGATGCAGTTTCTAGCATTTGCACTAAATAACTTCTACACGACAATTAATGCTTAAAAGAGGAAGTATGAAAACATTACTGTAATGAGGTTACACTCGGAGTTCTGGTAAATTCAGGTGAGAGATGGGCCTGCAGTTAAAAGCCCATGTCCAAATAACATGGAAAGGCAGGAGCAGTTTGAATCCAAATTTCAACTCTCCTACCTGCTGCCATTTCCATTGTCTGAACCTCAGCCCTGTGTCTAGCCTACCAGCTTCCTCCCCTCAATCTAAAACCAAACTTTTCAGATCAGGACTATCTCTAGTCTAGATAGACCAAAAACTGGGTTCAATTCCTATGTCACCACAAATACCTTGTGTGATCATGAGTGAGCCGCAGTCTGTCTGTGCTTCAGGTGTCCATCTATAAAATGAAGATAACTGCACTCCGCTACCTCACAGGGTTTGTGCAAGAAGAAATGCATCTATGACTGTGAGATGAGCAGGAAAAGGGGCCATACAAGTACCTAAAATAGACAGATATTGCTTTGTTTTGACAATTTGATACATAATAGCGAGCAATCTGATATTATTTTTTATGTTTACCTTTTATGCCTACGTAACATACTTCAGTCAATGTTAATCAACAAACTATTTGAAAGTTTTCTCCTTCCCTTCCTTTCAAGACCGTGTTTCTAACATCTCATATTACATTGAGGAGTCTAATTTAATAGATTGTGTTAATTTATAGATGGGATGATTTCCAGGCTAAATGATCCACTTATGCAAACACAGCAAATTAAAAGCATAAAAGGAAATATTTACATAGCAATATTTCTATTAGTATACTTGCAAATATAATCTGCATGCATCTCCAAATTACTGCTTTGTAATATGAAGAATCTGGTTTGTCATAAAGAAACTTTGGCAAGAATAAATGTGGTTTTCTATTTCCAAAACTGGTTTGGTACTGTCAATATGTGTATTTATTTAGGCTTTTTATAAGAAAATGAGATATGTCTGTGCCTTTATTCAATATGTGATATTATAGAGAAACTGGTTTTAAGAAACCCAATATTTCAATGCAATAGGTCACTGACATTTGACTCAGAAATTCTCGTTCTTCAAATTTTCTAGTATCTTCCCAACGGGGGATGTGTGAGTGCTTGCAATCTGGATGCTTAGTTTACACACATACATGCACACATATAGTAAATGTCAAGATTCCAGTGGAGAACAGGGGTGACTGAAAGGAGCCAGTTGCAGCTGCTTGAGTACTAGGGTATTGCCAGAGCTGGGGAGATTTCTGACCCAATATTTTTTAAAGTTATTACTGTGTAGAGTAGTAGGCCTGAGAACATATGCCATGCAGACGGATTCTAGATGTGCTTTAAGTGTCCCGTGCATTTGCAATTATTTTTCCTAGAGACCAAGCACATGATCCCTCAGGGTACGTCTACACTACAACGTTAATTCGAACTAACTTAGTTCGAATTAGTTAATTCGAACTAAGCTAATTCGAACTAACGCGTCTAGAACTAAAAACTAGTTCGAATTAGCGTTTTGCTAATTCGAACTAGCAAGTCCACATTGAGTGGACCCTGAACAGGGCTTAAGGATGGCCGGAAGCAGTGCCGGCAGGGCATAAGAGGAGGACTTAGAGCATGGAGATGCTGTCTCAGGCTAGCCGAGGGCTGCGCTTAAAGGGTCCCGACCCCCACCCCGGACAGACAGTTCTAAGGGGTGCCCCGCTTGCAAAGAAGTTCTGGCTTGGAGTGCCCTGAGTGCCCACACTGGGCACATCACACCACTCGGCCATCAGCCCGGCTGCACTTGCCGCAGGCTGCCATCTGGGGAGAGGGAGTAATTGGGGGGCTGCAGGAGAGCTTCCACCCCCAGAAGCCCGCAGAGCCAGCCCAGTCCTCCCCATCGGGGGCTCGTACCCCATTCCTCCCTCACCTCCTTCCACTTACCCTTCCCTAGCCCCCCTTCTTATTGATGTACAAAATAAAGATAACGTTTCTTCCAACATTGACTCTGTCTTTATTGAAAAAAACTGGGGGAGACTGGGAAAAGGAGGTGGGAGAGGGGAAGAGAAAGGCTGGGAGAGGGGAGGGCAACTAACATGATCAGGGGTTGGGAACAGTGGCCAGAGTGGCCACCAGGGAAACCTGGGGAGGGCTAGCCTCCCACTTGTTCGAATTAAGGGTCTACACAGCCCTTAATTTGAACTAGTAAGTTCGAACTAGGCTTAATCCTCATGGAATGAGGATTACCTAGTTCGAACTAAGCGCTCCGTTAGTTCGAATTAAGTTCAAACTAACGGAGCGCTAGTGTAGTGCCTATGAAAGTTAGTTCGAACTAACTTTGTAGTGTAGACATACCCTTACTTTCATTGAATCTGAGGATCCATATGTATATTTTATTAGAGAAAGTCCAATACATGTCAGAATATAACCATTATATCCTTCAGCTAATATATTTTTCTAGGTGATTTTCTGTATATATGGAAAGGCATTATTTTAAAAAGTCCTGAACAGAATCTGTTCCTGAATATCTGGTTAATTATTATATAACATTTCAGATGACTTTTTCTATGAAACCCAAGGTTTCCCCAATGTCACCTTTTCAAATTCCCTCCCCCACACCTAAATTAACTGGTTTGAACTTCCTTTATCCTGAACTGCACTTCATAGGAAGTGGGTTTTGCTCACAAAAGCTCATGATATATATATTTATCTTTGTTAGTCTCTAAGGGTATGTCTAGACTACATGGCTCCGTCGACAGAACCATGTAGATGAGTTTACTAGACATAGGAAAATGAAGTGGCGATTTAAATAATTGCCACTTCATTTACATCAAAATGACCACCGCATTGTGCCGATCAGCTGTTTGGCGGTACAGCGGGGCAGTCTGGATGCTCCATGGTTGACAATGGAAGCCTTTGTTGACCGCACCAGTAGACCTCATTTCACGAGGCATAACAGAGTTGTCGACTGCGGAGTGTCCAGACTGCTCCAGCCCCCTAATAATTTTGGTTGCCCTCCTCTGGACCCTGACTACGGAGTGTCCAGACTGCTCCAGTCCCCTAATAATTTTGGTTGACCTCCTCTGGACCCTCTTCAATGTGTCCACATCCTTTCTGTAGTGGGGGTCCCAGAACTGGACACAATACTACAGAAGTGGCTTCGCCAGTGCTGAATAAAGGGGAATAATCACATTTAGCATGTTAACACTTCAGTGTGGTTTCTTAAGTGTGGCCCGTCCCTGAGCCTCTCCTCCTCTTTCCACCTCGCTCCTCCCCCTTCCAGGTTCTTTCCTCAGTCTCTCTCTAGTTTTTGTTACCCCAAGTTAAAAACACCTCAATTTGTGGTTTGTGTCCTGTGCAGCAGCTCTGTCTACAGCATTTTTCATATGTCAGCAGTTTCTAAGGGAACGATCCAACCCTGCTGAAATCCCTTTTCTCTCAGCTCTGCAATGCCTTGCTGTACTATTTATCTGATTCTCTCAGCCGGTGGGACAATTAGCTCCTTAGTGTCCCCATTAGGTAATTAAGTATTCCATTCCTTATGCAAATGTTCTCTGAGGGAAACTAACTAGAGCTTAAGTGACTACAGTGCTGGGACAAATGTAGGCATTCTGCATCTTTCTATCTTAGATACATTTAAAGTATACATACACTTTTAGTGGTGCTTCTTTATCTGCTGCCGCTTCCTATCAGGAGAAGGTCTAAGGATGAAGTCTGACTATTGAACTAAAACAAATGAACTACACCAAACACTTAGCGCATGATTATGCTCTTAATTTTGCTACATCCTTGTCTAGAAAAAGTTGGTAATTATTTCATATTTTTTCTTTAGAGTTCACTCCTTTCTTCTGCATTTTAAATTTTTCATGCCTCACAGTCTCCTTGAACATGACTCTCTTTATCTCAGTCAGTCTTCTTTCCATTCATGCTTTGCCTTTGGTTTATCTTTCATTTGGATAAGATTATCTGTGTTCTATAACATTTCTAGTTCTCCTATGTTCCTGGTCCCTACAATGTTTGCCTTTTGCTTTCCTTGTTTGAATTAATTATTCCACAGTATTGTTTATGCATCAATGTATATTCTTTGCTCTGCTCCCAGCCCCGTCCCTGAGCCTCTCCTCCTCTTTCCACCTCCCTCCTCCCCCTTCCAGGTTCTTTCCTCAGTCCCTCCCAGTTGTTGTTACCCCAAATTAATAAAAAAATCACACCATAGTTCATTGTTCCAAACCAAAAAGTCTGCTCTCTTGTAGCTTCAGGGAAGGGAAGGGGAAGAAGAAGGGGGAGGAAGAGGGAAAGTGAGGATGGGGAAGGAGAAAAGGCACACTGGGACACTGCAGAGGCTCCCTGTGGGAGGCCCAGGGGAGAGTCTTACAGGTGTCTTTACCTGAAACTTTCCCTCAGTGCCTCCCAGATGTGCACAGCCTCCTGATGGGCCTGCCAGATGGCATCCGTGTGCGGCTGCTCGTAGGCCCTGCCTAAGTGGTCTGCCTTCGCCCCCCACCCTGGCAGGAAGGCCTCCCCCTTCTTCTTGCACACATTGTGCCCACTTGGCAGATGTTCTGCTTGCTCGGGTCCAGGCTGGTGAGGAAGCAGTGAAACCTTCCTTTGAGATGCCCAATGGCACCCTCAACCACAATGTAGACCCTGCTGAGTCTGGCGTTTAAGGGTTCTTTGGTGGGGTCCAGGCATCTGGTGTGGTGCTTCATAAGCCAAGGGAGCAGAGGGTAGCGTGTGTCCCACACGATACACATTGGCATGTCCACGTCCTGATCTTGATGGTGCAGTCGGGGAACAAAGTGCCAGCATGTATCTTCTGGTAGAGTCTGTAGTTTCTAAAGATGCAGGCATTGTGCACCTTCCCCAACCACCTAATATTAATGTCCATGAAGCAGCCACGGTGGTCCACAATGGCCTGCAGAACCATGGAAAAGTACCCTTTATGGTTGATGTAGTTAGATGCCTGGTGGTCAGGGGCCTGGATGGGGAAGTGGATACCGTCAATGCCCCCCCCCCTTGCAGTTGGGCAAGCCCATGACAGCAAAGCCAGTGACAATGGGGTTCACGTTGCCCAGGAGAATGAGCCTACGCAGCTAGATGGTGTTGATGGCCTTCACCTCCTGGAGAAGGAGAAAAACAGAGAATCACAGGGTTGCCACAGCTCTCAGGAAGTCCCTGAGCCCAATCCCACACCCCCCCCCACACCAGGTCCAACCCAGACTAAGCCCATATCCCAGCACAGCTTTATGGAGCTGGGACTAGAAAACCTCCCAGGGTGGGAGTTTCCACCACTTCCCCTCCCCCTTCACTAAGGAACCCCATTCCAGGAGTCTACCACCCTCCCAATAACATATTAAGAGAGTCACACCTGCATGAGTACAGCCCCGATGGTCACTCTCCCCACGCCAACTGGTTCCCAGGGGAGAGGTAGCTGTCCAGCATGGCAAGCTTCCAAATAGTGACGGCGATCTTCTTCTGGAAGGGGATGGCAGGTCTCATATGGGTGTCCTGTTACTGGAGGGCAGGAGCAAGCCACTCACTCTCCCCACGCCAACTGGTTCCCAGGGGAGAGGTAGCTGTCCAGCATGGCAAGCTTCCAAATAGTGACGGCGATCTTCTTCTGGAAGGGGATGGCAGGTCTCATATGGGTGTCCTGTTACTGGAGGGCAGGAGCAAGCCACTCACATGGTTCCAGGAAGGTGACTTCCACATGCGAAAATTCTGGAGCCACTGCTGGTCGGCCCACTGCTCTATGACAATCTGGTCCCACCAGTCAGAACTGGTGTCCAGGTGCCAGAAGTGGTGGTGCATGGTATGCAGGGAAGGGCAGGAGGAGGTGTGCTGCATAAGTAGCACATGGAAAGAGGGAGCTGCGGGTACTGATTCTGCAGAGCCACGAGGGCACCCTGTAAAAACTGCACCAGGAGGTGCAGCATGAGGTCCAGGAGCTAGAGACTGTTTTGCTGCATGTCTGGCTCTATGGCAGAAGTGCTGTGGTATCCGCAAGGGCAAGCAGAGCTCGCAGTGGAATCGGTTTGCTGTCCCTCGAGGAGGTAGACAAAGGAAAGGAGCTTGAGACATGACTTTACAGAGAGTATCCCTTTAAGCACAGGCCTTAGATAGCCTCAGCCAGCAGCTATGGGAAGTGGCTGCTGTCCTGATGCCCTGTCCAAAGTACTTTCAGGGTGTGTGTGTCTTAAATGCGATTGACGCTCCAATCAAGTCCAAAGTACTTTCAGGGTGTATGTGTCTTAAATGCGATTGACGCTCCAATCAGTATGGATGCTCTATTTCAAAATAGATCACTTGATGTGCCCTTGCACGTCAGAGCCTAGGGGGTGCAGGCTAGTAGATTTTGTGTGCTCCAGCCCATGGGGGGCTCCCCAATACTGGGGGAGGGGGAGGGCCCAAGCCTCAGGGCCGGATCCAAGCAAGCTACCATCCCTGTTGTATAAAGAAGCAGAATGACCTCCGGTGGTTCTCCCTTTCTTGAGGGCTTTCCATCCTTCATCAGACTTGTATGTAGATAGGACTTCTATGTAAATTAAGCACAGTGGAATCAAAACAATGGGAGACAGGTAGATAGCTGCTTTCCCTTCTTTCAGGGAGAAAATTAATTTCGCTCCCAGAAACCTGCATCTTGTACTGTTCAGGTCTCTGTGCACAATGCAAGCTCATATAAAGGTTGTAATTTTATCAATGGAAAATTATATGTGCTAGTCCTGTTATCTCAAACACTTCAGTCTTTGCCAGAGGATGTTGTGAAGGCAGGACTTTAACAGGGTTCATAAAAGAGCTAGATCACATGAACTTGTCTTAAATGAATCTTATTACAATTGTCAAGTCAAGCACTCAAAAATTAGGAAATACCATAGTTAAAGTTGCCTGGGGAACACAAATTCAGCATCTTTGTGCACATGCATTAAGATGTAGTCTTTAATTAGCTGACCATATGCTATTTCTCCACCCAGGAACTCTGCCTCATTCAATATTTTTGTATTGTCCTTGTTCAGCCTTATTTGATAGACACAATACAAACTATTCCTTTCCTTGGGGATCTTTCTACTGTGCGCTTTCTGTAGCCAGGGAGTATAACAGAAACAAAAATGAAGTTGCATGATTAAATGACGTAATTAATCCAATGTTGTAACTGGGCAACTGAGGCACAGAGAAGTGAAGGCCAAAGGTATCTTTTAGTGCTTAATCTACCCAGAGCTTGATCTTTCCAGAGTATGTGTTGATTGTATGTTCTCAAAGCAAAGCTTCCACTGATTATGCTGCAATTGTAGTATCTGCCTACTAACAGGTACTCTGAACAACCAGTGCAGCCTGGTGGGTCATGGTACATGTTAGTAGGCAGGTACTGTCTGGTCTCTGTGAAAGGGTGGTTTTTGAGACTGGGGGTACGTCTACACTACAGCGCTAGTTCGAACTAACTTAGTTCGAATTAGTTAATTCGAACTAAGCTAGTTCGAACTAGCGCATCTAGAACTAAAAACTAGTTCGAACTAGCGTTTTGCTAGTTCGAACTAGCGCGTCCACACTGATTGGACGCAGGGGGGCATTTAAGGGCAGCTGAAACCGGTTCTGGCAGGGCATCAGGTCAGCAGTTGCTTTGTGTGGCTGCTGTCTGAGGCTATCTGAGGCTCGTGCTTAAAGGGCCCCCCCCAAAGGAAAGGAGCTTGAGACATGACTTTACAGAGAGTATCCCTTTAAGCACAGGCCTTAGATAGCCTCAGCCAGCAGCTATGGGAAGTGGCTGCTGTCCTGATGCCCAGTCCAAAGTACTTTCAGGGTGTATGTGTCTTAAATGCGATTGACGCTCCAATCAGTATGGATGCTCTATTTCAAAATAGATCACTTGATGTGCCCTTGCACGTCAGAGCCTAGGGGGTGCAGGCTAGTAGATTTTGTGTGCTCCAGCCCATGGGGGGCTCCCCAATACTGGGGGAGGGGGAGGGCCCAAGCCTCAGGGCCGGATCCAAGCAAGCTACCATCCCTGTTGTATAAAGAAGCAGAATGACCTCAGGTGGTTCTCCCTTTCTTGAGGGCTTTCCATCCTTCATCAGACTTGTATGTAGATAGGACTTCTATGTAAATTAAGCACAGTGGAATCAAAACAATGGGAGACAGGTAGATAGCTGCTTTCCCTTCTTTCAGGGAGAAAATTAATTTCGCTCCCAGAAACCTGCATCTTGTACTGTTCAGGTCTCTGTGCACAATGCAAGCTCATATAAAGGTTGTAATTTTATCAATGGAAAATTATATGTGCTAGTCCTGTTATCTCAAACACTTCAGTCTTTGCCAGAGGATGTTGTGAAGGCAGGACTTTAACAGGTTTCATAAAAGAGCTAGATCACATGAACTTGTCTTAAATGAATATTATTACAATTGTCAAGTCAAGCACTCAAAAATTAGGAAATACCATAGTTAAAGTTGCCTGGGGAACACAAATTCAGCATCTTTGTGCACATGCATTAAGATGTAGTCTTTAATTAGCTGACCATATGCTATTTCTCCACCCAGGAACTCTGCCTCATTCAATATTTTTGTATTGTCCTTGTTCAGCCTTATTTGATAGACACAATACAAACTATTCCTTTCCTTGGGGATCTTTCTACTGTGCGCTTTCTGTAGCCAGGGAGTATAACAGAAACAAAAATGAAGTTGCATGATTAAATGACGTAATTAATCCAATGTTGTAACTGGGCAACTGAGGCACAGAGAAGTGAAGGCCAAAGGTATCTTTTAGTGCTTAATCTACCCAGAGCTTGATCTTTCCAGAGTATGTGTTGATTGTATGTTCTCAAAGCAAAGCTTCCACTGATTATGCTGCAATTGTAGTATCTGCCTACTAACAGGTACTCTGAACAACCAGTGCAGCCTGGTGGGTCATGGTACATGTTAGTAGGCAGGTACTGTCTGGTCTCTGTGAAAGGGTGGTTTTTGAGACAGGGTGATCTGCCTCTATAAGGGCCGGGAGGTTGGGGAGCAGCCAGTCTTATTCTGAAGAGAAGCCTCACAGGTATGTGCTAAGATCCTCCAACCCAATTGAGCAGTGTCAAGTGATGGTCTGATATTAGCAGCACAGACAATATAGATTCCAAGTCATAAAGAACCATTGAGGACTGCACAAATCTAGTCTGAACTGCAAAAACACTTTCCAATAACAGCAGCAGAGGCCTGCAAGAGGCCCTGACAGCTGCACTGCTAGGGTAGGGGCCTCACAGTCTGTTTTTGAAAAAAAGACTATTACTTTGTTTTTTTAGGGGGATGGGGGAAGGAGGGAATGGGGTTGCACAACAACCAGCACCCTGAGGCAAGGGCTATGAACTGATCTGAGAGTAGCCGATTATTTTTCTTCAGGTTGGTGACTGAGTCTTCGAGCCTACACTTCTTCCCTAGAACCCACCTGCCCCTAGAAAATGAAGAGAAAAGAGAGCAGCATAAATATGACATGGAATTTCTCTAAGCTAGCTGTTTCTTGAGGAAATAACTGAAATAAATGATAAGAAATCAAAGCTGCGTTGAGGGCACCTACATTGTTATCATGGTTTACTGGAACAGGTCGGCACCAAAAGCTGTTTTTAAAGGTGACCCATGTATCACTTCCTTTTAACTAATTTGATAGAGAAAAGATCAGATTTCAAGGGCTGCCTCTATATATTTTCAAGCAATGTGTATCTTGAAATTCATTGCATTTCTCGCACCTCTAAACCCAGTCAAAATGTATGAATCTGTGACCTTCATTTGGATGTTGCTTTTATATGCAGGTATGGTCTAAAATGATCTGATTTCTCCCACATTTCTCCCTTACCTGTAAGAGGATGAAGGCAAGTTTTCAGAGAGAAAAAGTTGGCAGCCTCTGCTGCTGACAAATGTTATTGTCTAAATTCCTAGAACTCTTTTTGAGCCTGATTCTAACACCAGAATCACTTAATTAACTTCAGAGAAGTTGTTTTTGATAAGCACTGGTGTTCTTGTGAGGAAAATCAGGTTCTGCATTAGCGGTCTTTGCAACTAATGCCATAGTTGCTATTTAATACTTGTATAATGCTTTACTTTTTCAATGTGGTCTTATGAACAGATGTTACTTTATGTGCAGTGGTAATTGTTTCAGACCCAGGGTATTAGAGACACAAGGTCAGTGAGGTAATACCTTTTGTTGGATTAACTCAGGGGTTCTCAAACTTTGTGATACCACGACCCCCCTCAAAGTTGCTTACAATCCCCCTCAGTTTGAGAAACACGGGATTAACTGAAGAAGATCTGTCTGAGAAACTACTCTTGTAGCCTCATCCACCTCATGTCTCAGATGTTATCTAAATGTTTTGGACACAATTCATTTGTTGTGTAAAGAGTGATTGATGATTTTGGTGAAACAGAAGTATAATTTGTACAATGGTTGTATTCTTTGCTAATGTATCTGTTGTATAAACCCACGTAGTTAAAGTTGAGTGATAGAGCAGGCGGAGAAAGAGGAGATGGGTGTCCAGAATGAAGGAGATGTTTCCAATCCCTTCTGGCCATTGCAATCATGTAATGGTAGTGAAAAGTACCTCAATTTACTACAGTCTACCTAAAGTAGAACCACTCTTTTCATTTTCTTTCTCCTTCTCTCTTTTTAAATTTGATAGAGAATTTGACATGCTGAAAACTAATATATACAACAGATGTTGCTTACATCTATAGTCTTCTTTGCCTCATCTTTAACATCACAATTACTTGTTTTTTATACTGACTACCACAGAACTTATATCACTTTCCATTTTATATTGTATTGCTTTCTTTGATAACAGGTTGATAGTATCTAATGTGCTGCCTATTGCTACATTAAATCACAATACATACACTAGAGGTGCTGTGAATTTCCCAACAAAATGATCTAAGCAATTTTCTGAAGTAAATGGCAACTTGAGGCAGAAAAGGTGTAACTACCTACCCCACTGAAGGCTTTTACCAAATTATAGGTTGCATAATTTGCCCAGGTTCAGTTATGGGTATTAATGCCTAAATTGTCTGTTTGAATTGCTAAATGAAACCAAATCGTTGGCTACTTCTATACTGTAGCCTTATTGCGGAAAAGCATATGCAAATACAGCACGGCGTAGAATATCGCCACGTTTCATTTGCATAAGTAATGAGCAGCCGTTTTTGTGTAAGAGGTTTTTGTCCAAAAACGAGCCGTGTAGATGGCTCCTTTTTGCACAGAGACCTCCTCTTGCGCAAAAATGGCCACTCATTACTTATGCAAATGAAGTACGGTGATATTCCATACTGTGCTTCATTCGCATATGCTTTTCTGCAAAAAGGCTACAGTATAGACATAACCTTTGAGTCAAATGAGAGGGATGTCACACTGATATAAATCAAGATGTACTTAAAGAACTTAATGGGTTTTTTTTTCAGGGGGATAAGGCAAAATGCCACATTTATTGGTATGATATATATATATATATATATATCTCAACACTGTATCATATGCATATGATATAATTACACTCACGCACTCATGCACACACACAAACACAGTGGGTCTTGCTGTTATCAACTAGCTGCTCCCTTTATCTTCACTGGCGAGGTGAGTTACAAGGTGAGGAGAGGAGCCGGGCTTCTGCCATCTGGATCGATGTTCCAGTGTTGACAAGACAAGACCCAGGGTCCCCTGCAAGACACCCTCTCATGCAAATCTATACACTTTAACTGTATCAGTTAGTCATCTTAGGCAAATTTATGAGCTCTAGTTGTATCAGTTAGTGATCTGTGGCACCTTCTTCTGGGTGTTGTCCTCAATGCTGCTACATTCATCTTCAAAGAGGGTTTTTGAATTTGCTTCAAAAGAAGGAGCTTGCTCCTGACTCCTAAGGCTATCAATATGTCTGATCTTTTCTCAATGGCCCCCTTGAGAGGTCTTAGTGACTTTAGGTTTGGCTCCTATTCTTCCCTTTTCTAACTGTTGCAGCTGTTTATCCTCAGAGGTGCTTGCCTTCCACGCCACATTCATTCATACCTCATTCATTCAACAAGTCCACATTAAAGTCAAAAGGGAGAGATCCATTCTACTTCTAATACAAAGACATTTTCTTTACCTTCATTATTCCTAAGGACTATAATATTAAAAAAAGACTTACAAAGTTATATGTAAATGCTTAATAAAAGTTATATGAAAAGGGCTTAATACAAAGTCTCTATAAAACATTCTAATACGACTTATCTACAAAGAGGCACGTTGTTTTAAACTTTTTGCTCACATCTACAGAAGTGATTAACATGATCACATTGTAACATTTAACTTTTACTTACTTAGCAATTTATTCTGATTAGGCCAAATGATGATGTCCTTGTTTACTCAGTTTATATATTCAGTGGAAGTTGTGACAACAATTCAAGAGTAACCTCTGAGTAAAAATCAAGTAAAACATTAAGATTTGGTCCTACAGCAGGTGCAGGCAATAGAGCTCTGGAAATCTTTTCAGGATCCACAGAGGGAAAGAAGTCAGGGCATGGCAAAATGAAATGAACCTAATGCACTTGTCTGTTTCAGAAGCTACACAGGGCACATGCAATTGCAGGCACTCTGTAGAGCATTGAGTCCACAAGAGAATAACCAGGATGGCAGCTGAATCTCAGCTGGGCTGCAGAGCCAGAGCTGTTCTCATTCAGAAGATGCATATGTGGGGTCAGCTCATACAAATTCTGTACTCCCTGAGAGGCAAGGGCTGGGAGCTGACCGTGCTCACGTGAGCAAGGGAGTCACCAAGATATCCCTAGAGAAATAGGTTTTCAGTGACACAGCGTAGGACTATCCATTTCAAGTGGCCAAAAGGGTTTTGGGGATGACGGTCCACATCTGTCAGATGGAGGTGATGTTGTATGCTTACAGCATGAGCAGGCATTCACTGGACAGGTGTTGTGATATCAGGCAGTGTGACTGGAAGGGAGTAACCAAGCTAGTTTCTGGCTGGTTTATAGTCAGTTATGAAAATAAAATGACCAGTTCCCAGAAGTAGAAGACCAGTGATTTTGATGGCTGGCATTGGACTCATACATCAGGGTCAGACTTTTAACCTTTGAGGGCTGAGTTCATCACCCTGTTTCACTCTCTCCCTCCCTAGTGGTGGGGATGGTTCTAGGATTCAGAGAGAGATAAGGCCTGATGAGTATGCTGAGGACAGCCACCCAAAATCATAGGAAATATTATAAGGAACCTCATCACCCTGCCACCATTATGGATTGCATATAACCTTGTAATCTCTGCACTGGAACCAATTAAATGCTTGGAACTGAAAAGTATGAGTGATACGTCAGTAGTACACTCTTCCCCACCAGTATGCTAAAGTTTATAGATGCAGTGGCCTGCCACTTAATTCCATGCATGTGTCTGTCCTCATTTTCACCCTGTCCTCATCAATAAACTCATAGGAAAAGAATCACAGTAAAGAGATTTGAAGTCAGCTTCCCTTTTTCCCCACAATTAATTTGGAAGGCTGGGTTTGGCTTCCTTTTAATGTAAACCCTTATTTAATTACAGTAATCGCTCATTTTTTGGTAAAACTGCACATCATAGGAATCGACACACTCTAATAATGCTTTTGTTTAACAAAAGTGTCGGAAGTTTGCCTTTGTCTTTTGTGTTAACATCCTTCCTTTACTTGTTATTCTTGTGTATGTTCTTAGTACTACTTATATTATTGTATAGATTGTGCATGTGAATGTGAAGGACACTGACTCAAAGCTCATTAGTATCTTGATTGTTGTCTTTTTTGCATGTATCAGCCTCTGGAGAGAACACTACGGAGTACTATATAAGTTGTAAGTCACGTATCCTTTTTGTCATAACAGAGAGACTCATTCTGCATAGTTCTCAGTGCAGTAGGGAGGGAAACAATGTTGAGATACCAAACAGAGTTCCCTTTATGGCCATCATCATGAAAAGTCAAAATCTCAAAAACTTTAGCAACAAAATAACCAAAATTACTGTCTAGATGTTCAGGCTCAGGAGAGAGTATGAGCTTGATGATGCTACCCCTGTCCCTGATGTTACCCCAGCTCCAGCCCAAATCCAAACTATACCACAAGTTTACATCTTTGCTGCCCAAGCCAGCTAACACAGGCGAGCCATAGGTGCTGAATTTCCGCCCTGACATAGACTCCATACACCCACATCAGCCAGTGTCACTTAGGGTAAGAGGTATGATTAAGGGCTAAAAGATTTTCCTTATATTGGGATTTTCTCGCTTTTTAAAGCATTTGCATTGGCTACATATATTACTTAATTACCACAATTAATTACCACAATTTTAATAAGATTCTTATACAAAATATCTATTCCCAGGAAAAAAATTCCCAAAACTTGGTAAGTGTGGACATAGTTACACTTATTTGTTACCCTTGCCCTTCCCAATCCTTGACTGTTGTTATATCCACTTGCTGCTTTCTTAAAATGAGATTCTCACCAAGCTGAGACATTGTACTGTGTGTATGTATAGTGGCTTGCTCTACAGTGCCATCCTCCTGATCTGGGTGGCTCTGTGTTCTACAGCAGTGCTAACACTACAATTAATTATTAGTGTAATAGGTTTAAACTAGGATTTGGGGTTTGGATATGAGGATGAAACAGGCATCATATCTGAACCCTCACCTCTCAACGCGAAGGACAACAAATATAAGGCACTGATTTGGCCAATCAGAATTCTAGAACTTCAAAACAAGTCCATGGGTTCCTGTTTTCAAAAGCAGATTTTTTTAAAGAAATGAGTAAAAATGAATTGTATTTTTATTCAATAAAAACATGCTGGGTGCGTCTACACTGGGCCACTTATTCCGGAAAATCAGCCGCTTTTCCGGAATAAGCCGCGAGCTGTCTACACTGGCCCTTGAATTTCCGGAAAAGCAACGATGCTGTACTGTACAAAATCAGCCGCTATTCCGGAAACCGTACGATGCTCCCGCTCGGGCATAAGTCCATTTTCCGGAAAAGCTTTTCCGGAAAAGGGCCAGTGTAGACAGCTTTTCCGGAAAAGCTGAAAACGGAATGTATTCCGTTTTAAGCATTTCCGGAAATTCATGCCAGTGTAGACGTAGCCGCTATGTTTATCTTTTCCTACCTATTCACATAGTTTCTCCAGGTATTACATCTTAGGCCTGATTTACTAATGGCTACTTTCTGTGCCAGTTTGGCCCCATTGTTCTGTAGAAAGCATTCATCTTTATGGAAGTGCCATTGGTACCATCTTTGCCCACCGGAGAACAGCGCCAATAACATCCCTGTTGAAGTGTCGCTTGTAGAGATTGCCACAGTGATGTGCTGAATCCAGAGCACTTTATGGGCACTCCTATGACATAGAGCACCACCACATGTGTTGTTTACAGGGGGGCTGACAGAATTGCTGGGCTCCTGGAAAAGGGGTGTGTGTGAGTGTGTGTGTGTGTGGTGGGGAGGGGAGGAAAAGGGGGGAACTGGCTCCATGTTACCAGAAGGGATGGGACCTCAAGCAGAAGGGGTGGGGCTTGGGCTAGCCTCCCTCAGACAGCCCTTCGGGGGTGCCCACAGTGTTCTGCCTAGAATTTGGGTGGCGATATGACTTGCCAGATACCAGACAGTTGCCTCCTTTGCCCTCTCGTCCCCCATCAGCAGGCCTGGATGTTTACTCTTTTCCAAGGTGATTCCCTCAAAAGATGGGTAGAGTGTGTGTGCTTCCTCACAGGTGGACTAGCCATTGCAGAGATCTTTTCAATTTTGTTCCAGTGGAATTTGTGCAAATCCTGAAAAGAATCAGAATGCAGATTATTATAGATCATGGATCAAATCACATTTTCTTGCTTCCTTTTTTAATGTGATGTAATTTGGTGACTGACACTCTGCAGCTGAAGTCACAGTTTTGCTCAAATCAATCAAAAATTATTATAGAAGAGAACAATTTTACTTGACTATTAATATCAACCTTTTTTCTTGCACAGCTACCACAGAAAATACAACATGGGCAGAACGTGCAACATATGGTAAGTCGCATATCCTTGGATTTTTAATAGAAGGATAAATTTTGAGTGCTCCAGGCAGCTACTGAGCTTCTACAGTGCTCCTTATAAACCCTCAAAAGGAGCAGGGAATGCTTAGGGTTCTGCCAATAGTATCTTTCTTCAATAATTTGAAAAATGACCAAGTCACCTCAGAACAAAAGGGAACCGACTCACTTTTTTCATTCAAACTTCAAATGGAATTTTGAGGAACAAAAGAGTTCAGTTAATGTAAGAACAAAAACACATATAGATTGTATCTCTATATTTTTGGGGTGTTGAGTGAGTGTACAAGATGAAATACCAAAGTACTGAAAGAGAAATTGCATGCAGTATTTCAAGCCCAGACATACCAGGAAGGATTAGATTTTTGTTGCAGTTTTCATAATACATTGATCCAAATTGTAAACTGGGCAAATTGTTAAATGAAATTGACTTACTGAATTCAACAGATGGTGGAGTGTTCAGGTCTGGAATTTTCTTTTGGCCTTCCATGTGGAAGATAGATTAAGAATTGAAAACAAAATAGGAAGCAGTTTGGTTTTACATTCTTTCATTTTATGTTCTCTAATAGGATATCAGTGTGGTGGCTTCCTCTCAGATCCATCTGGGTCTTTTTCTAGTCCATATTACCCTGGAAACGGTCTCATCACACAGTGTGTCTGGGAAATACAAACAGACAATTATCAGATAGTACTAGTTTTCTCCTATGTTAGGTAAGTATGAAGGATTACCAGCATCCTAGCCTTCCAAAAACATTTATTTTATTTATGTATATTGGATCTTGGAGGTGCTGGAAACTTCCAAAACAGCAACTGCCTTGGATCCATTTTTGTTGCAATCAGAGATGGCATAGGCTGGAATGGGGTGCTGTGCTGTGGTTAGTCAAGAAAGAAATATTCTCCTGATTGTAGAGGCAAGTTTTTTTGAGTTGTAAAATCTTAGTCCTAGGATAAAAAGCCATCTCACGAAGAAATGGGCTGTCATGTATACCAACACCAGAGTGCTGCCCTCTGCCCCTTTTTTGGACCTGGACTCTTCAGGTACATCTACACAGTAGGGCTAAACTCAAAATAAGCTACGCAACTTGAGCTATGCTAATTGTGTAGCTCAACACAAAATAGCTTATTTCAAATTTTGGCATGTCTACACAGCATTTATTTCGAAATAGAGCACTCTTCCTCCTACTTCCCTTACTCCTCATACAATGAGGTTTACAAAAATTGGAGTAAGAAGCTCATTATTTTGAATTTATTTCAAAATAATGTGCTTGCTGTGTAGATGTACCCTTACAGTAGATGTTCTCAAGGAGTTTGGAGTCAGTTGGCAAGCTGCGTGTAGACCAGGGTGAGCAATTTTCGACAAACTTCTTGTTTACTGAAAAATGCAGTTTTGGTAGACCTGAACCTATTTGTGAATTCAGAACATATTCATTAAATAATTCCAGAGGAAAAGATTATTTTGCTTTGATTCACAAGCCATTCACACAACAGTTGAAGGTAGAGGTTTTCCAAATATTGTTTTTAGCCTGTGGCTACAGTACTTTCCTGGGATATTGGAGACCCAGTTTCAGTTCCCTCTGCTGCCTGATGTGCTTCAGGAATTCAAACTTAGGTTTTCCACCTTCCAGAAGAGTTCTCTAGCCATGAAGCTAAACTTAGAATACAAAGGGGCAGAGACAGCTGCTTCTGCTTTCTGAATCTAATGCTTCATTTCCTCTGCCCATATTTGAAAATAAAGTTTAAAATGCCCAGAAACTACACATTTGGTTCACCCGGAAACACATTTTTGTTGACTTTTCAGGTTTGTTCAAATTATTCAGAGTTTGTGGTTTCAGTCATGGTTGAAACAAGTTTTCTCCTGATTTGACAGTTCTGGAAAAACAGAAACAAACTTAGACATCAATTATTCATCCATTTCCAGCTGTGTGGTCAAATGTCCAGTGGTGAAAGAGACTCTTCACATTTTCTGCCCTTAAGAAGGTCCTGAGTTACTGAACGCTGGAATGAGTGGTGAACAAAGTAGAGTCAGAGTCTGAATGCAATGTGTAGATGCTGGAGAAGACAGGCTATTCCTCCCTTTCGAAGAGGACAGGAAGAGCAGTGGAGTCATTGAAGGGAAGAGTCTGCAGTGTCTACATTTTAGAACATAAGTCATTCTTCATGAGGCTGCCCCTTGTGGAACTGAGGAGGAAGAATTAATTTCTAAAGCAAATAAATTCCTTTGTGTATGATGTTGGGCACAGAATTCCTAGATTTTGAGAATAAAAGGATCTGTGAAATTCCTCACCTGATGTTATTGAAAGGACTAATGCATAACGCAGAGGTATAAAATAATGTGACTAGATTACCCAGCTTCTAAATGATACATTATTAACTTACTTCCACAGTTTGAACTGCTCTCAGGAATTTATTGAAATCTATGATGGACACCTGTATACATCACCTTTAATTGGGAAAATCTGTAATGGTTCAAATCTCAGCTACTCATCATCTTCAGACACTCTGACAGTTCTATTAAACAGAGCCTCTTATAATTCAGAATATGGATTTTCTGCTTTTTATTACCCTGTACTTCCAGGTAAGACTAAGATTTACATGTTTGCTATTAATTTATTAATTTAATATACCCAAAGTCCAGATTTTTTACGTATTTTGGATGTGTGTGATTAAAACTTGATTATTAAATAACTATTAGATTTGCTCTGCATTTAACTGGTGGGTAATCTTTTATGGTTATTTGGGGTCACAGTCCCTGGAGTTATCTAATAAATAAGGTATAGCCTGGCAAAAAAATCCTTGTTAAGACAGCTGATTGGTCAGCCCCTAACTGTGTTTTAGGAGCTACGATTGGCTGGAAACAACCCATAGAAAATTGAGTCAAGGAAAGAATCCTCTCCCTATCCTGTCACTGTCACATAAGTTGGCTTTGCTACTAGGCAAGTCTGTTAAGATCCTGAAGATTAAGAACATGAAATAAAATCTTGTATTGAATTAAATTGCAATATATGCATCTTATATTAATTGTTTGTACTTTATTCACACATAATTTTAAAAAATGATAAACAAATCTATTCTGTAGGCTTTTATAAAATAGTATG